AGAAAGAGGGAGAAAGTGAAAGGGAGAAAAAGGGAGAAAGCGAGAAAGGGGGAAAGAGATAAAGAGGGAGAAAGTGAAAAAGAGGGAGAAAGAGGGAGAAAGCAAGAAAGGGAGAAAGGGAGAAAGAGGGAGAAAGTGAAGGAAAGAGAAGGAGAGAGAAGGAAGGACATTACAGTTAGAAACACAAGCAATGATTATGGCAGATGGTATCTTTACCCATCAGCAGTTCCACAAGAAGAAAATCAGGTCATCTGGATGTTGCTGTTGGTAGCGTCATCCCCCCCCAGTCTTGTGTCTGTCCACTTGTCTCTACTCTTGTACACTACCATCTGAATCACACACAGAGCCCTTCATTTTCCTGTGTTTTCACTATCAGCATCTATTCATCCTTCCTGTTCACTCATTAACCAGTCAACTTGTTCATCTCATTCATTTTTCCAGTATTTCACCTGTCCACACCACCAGTCTATAACTGATTCTTCTGCACATGTACCTGCTACACACTCGTTTTGACCAAGATGCCTGTTCTCCTACAGTACCGAAGATGGTGTCAGAAGGAAGCAGAAAAGCAAGCAGAAAATGAGGAAGAGCATTAGCTGAAAAAAAGGAGACAAATACAAAAAGAAAGGCAAATTTGAAACTCACCTCGAATGGCTTGGACACTGAAGATCAAATACAGATTCAGCAGAAGGATGAAAATCTTTCTCATGTTCATACTGTCCTTTGCACACAAGCTTGATCCTACTTCAGAAGATAATTGTTTTCAATGCCCACTGTCTGCTTTCTTGCTCTGCTTATTGTGGAGCTTCTTGTTTTCATTTCACGTAAAGAGAAGTAAAACTGAATTAGGGAACTTCTTAGGTCTTCGTGTTGGAGTGACGTTCAGAAAGAATTTCTACCAAGTATTTATTGTAGGATAAAATCCATGTCTTCCTATTGTGTGAGCTTGCAATATGAGCAAAGAATGAAGAAGTAAATGCACATTTCCAAGGAAGTGCAGGGGTTCTTTCAGTTGTGTAGCAACAAGAAACAATCCTAATCTGTGAGGAGAACTAAGCCTTCAAATTCATTCATCCTTCTGCTCCTCATGTTCAAAGCCTTACAAAAGAACCACAATGGTGATCTTGTTTTTGCCTTTCCTTAAAAATATTTGTCCTCAACCACATAGCTCCTGGGAGCTGTAGAGTTTGAATTTTCATATTAATTCACTTTCAGATTTTTCTTCAATGTGCTACATTTTCAGCTGCTTCCCAAACAAGTTGCCAATTGTAGAAATAATACCAAAGAAACGATTTCTCTTTTCTTTCAGCAATTGCTAAGACTGAGAGGTTCAAAGACCATGGACCACATTGTTCAATACTGGAATTCAAGTCCTTCCAGCCATCTCTCATTGCTCTCTCTCAAAAAGTATTATAAACTCACCTACTCAAGTATGTTACAGAGCTGAGACTCTTTTCTACTTTAGGGTATGTTACAGAGCTGAGACTCTTTTCTACTTTAGGGTAGCATGGAAAAATTTCCTTTTAAATTCCTGTTGACTTTCAGATTCCTGAATATCACTTCCTTACATCAGAAACATCTGGCTGAGCCCTTGAATAAATATCACAGCTAAGGAATCCCAAGCCCTTGTATGAGAGCAGGCTCTGCCATTTTGCGTTTCTCCAGAGTGGAAGCAGTTCTCTTACCTGGGTCCAGAGCTGTCTGTGAGGCAGAGGATTCAACCTGATGGGTGACTCTCCCTGTTCAGCGCCCCCCCCCCCCCCCCCCCACCGCCGCCGCTTCTTGCCCTTCTGCCGAGCCCCCACTCCTCTGATGCAGAAACCAGCAAAACCACACTCCCCTAGAACTGAACACAGAAGGTGTAAACCAAGGATTTTCTTGGCAAGTAGGTCTTCAAAATAACTGCTACATCTTCTGTGCACCTCAAATGCCACTTTCAAAGAAGTAGACCACGCCTTTTCAAGGAAAGTCTGTGTAATTGCCTGTTAAATAGGAAGTCTGTACTTCCTATTTTAGCCCCCTAAGCACTTGCTTAGATGGGACTGTTTAGCTGGAAAGGGAGGGGAAGGAAGTTTGTCATTGCCAGTCTGCACATTAACTATTACCAGATCATGGGACTAATGTATTTTCAGGAAAAAAAAAAGTACTGACTGCAGCAAAAATTAGAAAGACTAAGTAAGAATTATCTGGCTTTTACTCCAGTGTTGTTTCTTTCTTTACTCTAGGCTAGACAATCTTCAAGGCAGGGATCATCCTGTACTTCATGTTTATTTGAACATATATACTGGGGGCAGGAGAGGGAGACAGAGAATTACCCTTATCTCTGTAACACTTTAATTTGAGCAATATTTTTTAAAGTTTTACCAATTTCAACAACAATTAATAATAAATTCTAAGTATAAATTATAAGTACATAGAGGAAACAAAAGGAAACTGGTTGAGAAAATTTAATCCGAAGTTACCGTACATCCAAGGCAGCCACACTGTTTTAAATCTAGCATTAAAACTTAGACCAGTAGACTTCAATAATAAGATCACAGAATCATAGGATGGTTTGGGTTGGAAGGGACCTTAAATATCACCTGTTCCAACCCCCCAGCCATGGGCAGCAACACCTCCCACCAGATCAGGTTGCTCAAAGCCCCATACAACCTGGCCTTGAACGCTTCCAGGGAGGGGGCATCCATGGCTTCTCTAAGCAACCTGTTCCAGTGCCCCACCAGCCTCATAGTAAAAAAATTCTTCCTAAAATATAATCTAAATTTAC